CGTGCATCCGACTCCGACTGTCAGAGAGCTGCTGCATGCGTTGATAAGACGTTCGCGGGGTGATGAATAGACGTTTCAGGACAACTTAGCCTGATGAGCGATCACGCCTACTTCGCGGATGAGCAACCTACATCGTGTCGACTCGTGCGCTCGTCCATTCAAGCCACTCTACCATTCGCAACGCAGAAGATGTCCGGGCCAGGGCTGCGTCCAGGCTGTGTTTCACAGCGCGAAAAGCGCTGTTTTTGCAGGTTGTTGGTTTTCGTTGTTGTCTCTTGCACACCCCCTCGAGTGTAACCGATTGATGTCCTTTTGGGGTGTACGCTGCACCAAAAGATGGGGTGTACGCTGCACCAAAAGATGGGGTGTACGCTGCACCAAAAGAGTAGTTTGTTCATGAGCTCTCGACCAGGTACACGCTCTATAAAAGCTGTTGAGCAGTCGAAGGCCGCGAAGACGAGTCATCGTCCAAGCCCAGCGACAAGGCTCAACCCGCCTTTCTCAAGCATGTCGTGCAAGCAGTTACACAACTCCTAGTCACGCACCGCCATCGCCTCGTATGCAAGTAAGTTCGCTGTACGTAGTGCCCTTGTGACATAAGAGACGTCACAACGCGGCCGGTACGAGCCAGCTACGATAGTCGATACTCTTGAACGCCGTATGTGGTCTCTCTTGTGGCCGTAAGCCTGCAGTCGCTCGACATAGATATGCTTTTTGAGAGGTCACATCGGTTTCAGTTGCGACACCACAAGGAGGCTGTTGGCAACTTGTTGCCATTTTCGAATTCTCTAGCAAGCCTACACTAGTATGTCCATCGCATCCAACACCTCGGAACCGCCCCGGGCGCGTCTCAGCTCAGCCAAGGCTACTCTCTGGACGAAGCCCGTGCTGATGCTCCTCGGGCTCATCTACCTCGTCACCTCGCTTGGGATCGGTCTCTGGTACCTGACGCACCTCTCGCCAAGCTTGGCCAACGATCTGTGGTGGGCCGGCTTTACTGCAACCGGCGGCGAAGCGTTCCTCATCGACCTTGTCAACGCCCAATTGGGACTCACCGCGACGTCGGCCCTCAGTATCTACG